AAAAAAAAAAAAAAAAAAAAAAAAGAAATCATAGTCTGTACTATGGTGCTGAATTTGTCTGAAAGCAATCCTCCCTTTCTGTAGCTACTGTTACATATTCTGAGGTAGTAGGTTTGTGATAACAAAATTTTATAAGGCTTAATTTCTTTTTTTCTTTTGAGACAGGGTCTTGCTTTGTAGTTCAGGCTGGGCTTGAACTATGTATCCTAGGCTGGCCTTGAATTCTCAGTGATCCTCCTGCCTCAGCCTCCTGAATGCTGGGATTATAGGCCTGCACTACCATGCCTGGTGTAATTTTTGACTACTAAATACTATAAATTAGAGGAGAGAGTAAGTGTGGCGAGAGTTGTGGGGCTATAACTATGGAGAGCCTGAGAAATGAGGCTAAACACAAGCTGCTGTTTGGGGACCACACACCTGGATGCAGAGAGTGGAACATTACAGAGTCTGAAGAATATTATAAGAACAGATGGAGATCTACTAGGATTCCTCATTTTACTATGTTTCTCAGCAGTACAGGGGGTTTTATTGTGAAAATGTCAATATGGCCTTATCTCCAGAAGATTTGTACATTTCAGTCTACAGTATTCTCTGAAGTAACTGTACCAGTAGTAACTCTTCATGTACTTCAGCATTTTCTAGAGAAGCTCTTTGGTATTCTATATATAGAGTAATTGCTACAGTATCATAAGATAATAGTTTCTTAAAAGAGCAAGTAAGGTGACTGTGCTTTATTGTTCAAACCAGAGCAGAATTGGAGTAAAAGGGGTGCTATACCAGGAGAGTAGGATGTATGTTGACAGTCACAGGCAAATGGAGATGTATAATGTATAAATGTATGGTTATAAGCTGCATTCACATCCTATCACTACTCCTCCCTAATAAAAGAATCCTTAAAATGTACAATTGATAATTCTGAGAAATAATTTCATGATGTTTTCATAGAATTAATCTGGGTTGTCAGATAACATTGTGAGAATAGGTAATCTACAGTTGTCACTTGGTTATCCTAGGGAACTGGTTTCCAGTATCTCCCACCAAGCATACCAGAATCTGTGGATGCTCAAGTCTCTTTTGTACAGTGATGTTCATATCATCTGCATGTATCAGTGATGGTGAACCTTTTAGGGACAAGTGCCCAAATTACAACCCAGAAGCCACTTATTTATTGCAAAGTGACTACATTGTAGTTAAACCTGAGTACTGAGGTTTTAGCTTAGGAAAAACAACTCATATGTTAACATCTTTTGTCTTAAAACAAAGACAAATAACACATTGTTATGGTTTGTGTCTGGGTGTCCCCCAAAGCCTCATGCAGCCGTGGGGCAGGCTTTTAGAGTTGGATTGATTATGGGTGTGAGAGCTGCACCCGCCCTGGAGTGGACAGTTTGCATATCTAAGGGAGAGCAAAAGGCTGCTTGGGGCCATTTCCTGGCTTTTGTGCTTCTGGCCATTTTCCTCCCTTGAGTGTGTGTGCTTGTTGCTTTTGCTGTGTTCTGCGCCAGGAGCTGCAGCCCTCTGCCATGTGCCACTCTGCCTTATAATCTGGTAAGTACGGACTGAAACCTCCACAAACTGTAAGAAAAATAAACCTTTCCTTCCTTAATTTTGGGCATCAGGTATTTTGTCCCAGCAATGAGGGAAAAGTAACCCAGACACACATCTCCATAGGTTCGCCACTCTGGCATAAATTATCCTACAAATTTTAATCATCTCTAGATTACTTGTAATACCTACTAAAATGTAAGTGGTATGGGATATATATATAATAGGGGAAACGGGATGGGATATATGAGACCTCTCTATAGTATGTGTATTTACACATTTTTCTGTAAGTTTAAAACTATTCTAAAATAAAAATCTTATTTTAAATAATACTGTAAATTAATTAGAATCAAGAATACATCACCTTCCAGTTTATTTTCATATTGAACTACTTATAAAAGAATTGTGGATCTTTAGAGTGGAAAAGAATCTGGCTATCGCACTCCTCCCCCTGCTGGGAGGAGTGAAGAGCTGGGGCTGGGTGGGAGCCATGACTGACCTTATCAAGGGTAGAATTGGAAGTGGGCCCCTTGGGCTCTGGGCATCTACAGCCTAGGCAGCTGCTTCTGTCCTCATTCCCCACAAGTGCCTGCCTTTGTTAAGTGACTGTTTCAAAGTGTTGGTAAGCTGCCCTTCCAGCACCAGAGGTTCTCAGGTGATGACTGCCTTCCCAGGATTTGAGGGACAGTGTTTGCCTGCACCACCAGAGGTTCAGCTTTCTGCAGGGAATGGTACCAGATGTGGTTTCCGTGATGCACAGGCCACGTCAGCTTCTAGAGAGCAGTACAGCCATGTCCAAAGAGGAGGTGTGTGTTCTGGGAGGGGTGTGGATGGCCAGCTGTTTCACATCAGTTGTTTGAGCCTGGCCTTGTAGTATAAGACCTGATATTGTTTCTCAGCTTCTTCATAATCATTAACTAATTTAACTGCTTATTCTAAAAAATATCAGGCATGCTTAGAAAGAGAATAAAGAAGGATTCATCTGTTGTACACTGTAGTGAAGAAGAAATTCAACCAGTTGAGGGACATGGCAAAAGTCCATTTGTTAACAGCTGTGAAAGTTCACGCCTAATAAGGGATTTTAGGCATGTTAGACACGTTTAATGAATGACAGGCATCATATTCTACTTGCTTTAGTTAATCAGTGCATTATCATTCTCTTGTTGCTGGTACAAAATACAGTCTGCCCCAGCTTGCTAACTCAGGTGGTACAGGAGGAATCAGAAGGGTTACTAAGGAGGAGGGGTGTGAAACACAGGGGGAATGTAGAGAACGTAAAGTCCTTGGCTCTAGATAAGCTGTCTTTGGTGTATAGCTGTATTTCCGTGGTTTGAACTGAGCAGGCAACTTTGTGACTAGTGTGTTCAGGAGGGGCTGCTAAGGGTGAGCAAGAGCCCAAGATAGAGACAATCCCGTTTGATAGAAAAAACAGAGCCTACTGTTTTCCACAGCTGGCATTGAGTTATGAAGCTTTCCAAATTTCATACAAACTATAGAAAAGTCCTTGATTTTGATTTGTATTGACAGTAAAATATGTGCGAAAGAGACTAGAGGGCCTGGAGACCAGCAGCAATTAAGTTGGCACAAAAGAAACTAGGTAGGAATTTACTGAGATAATTTTTTTTCTTCAGTGCTGGGGATGAACCCAGGGTCTTATGCATACTAGGCTGGTGCTCTACCCCTGAGCAACATGCCCACTTCTTTTTGTTTTGAGACAGGGTTTCACAGACTTTTCCAGGTTGGCTTCCAAATTATGGTTCTCCAGCCTCAGCTTCCAGAACAGCTGTGTGTGCCACTGCACCTGTATGTTATAACCCTGCATCACTTATTGGTTATGTATCTCGCATTTGTGTCTCCCCTCTACTACTTTTGACATACCTTTTACCTTACTGTGTTTTGTTGTTACATATTTGTCTTTAAATTGATTTTTAAACTTAACACATTTGAGAAGGAAAATTGAGCTGGGCAGGGTGGTACTGTATGGGAGGCTGAGGCAGGTTTATCACAAGTTCAAGGCCATCCTGGCAACTTGATGAGACCTATCTCTGAATAAAGAAAGAAGGGGCAGGGGGAGGCTGTAGCTCAGAACTCCCTGAGTTCAATCCCTAGTACTGGCAAAAAAAGGAAAATTGTCATAAGTAGTAGATAACTATATTAATAAATACAATGAACAATTCACTTTTAGGAGAGTTGAACTGATGTTTAGCCTGATTCTTGTTAAAACAATGAATAGCTTAAAAATAGAGACCTTTCCTTTGGTGCAACAAGGATTAAAAAGGACATGAGTTCCTCCCCAGTCCTCTTTGACTGTCAGTGTCATCTGTTACTTGGGCCAGGGGTGAAGAATAGGTTATTGTGAGTTTGGGGTAGGGCAGGAACTAGAAGGGTCTGGCCTGGGGCAGACCAGTGTTCCTGACCAAGTTCCTGTTTCCAGGGAACATCCAGGGTGTCATTTGGTGCCATACCTGAAATTATCTGGCCAACCAGTGACACCCATCCAGGTCAGTGAGGGGCAAATTAGAAAAACCAAGAAGTACAAAAATAAGCCTGGCTGTCTTCATGTACCTTTCTTGGTATCTTCTGTACCCCATGTAGCCATCTTCTCTAGACAGGTAGCACAGGTGAGAGCCAGGTGCACAGCTGCGTTAGACCAGGCCAGACACTGTCTGATACTTAACTGATGCCATGCCTCAAGGTGCCTGTCATCCTTGCTAGAAATGGCACTGCCCAGAACTTAGAAAGGACTGTCGGTATAGGGACAGGTCAGCCCAGGGAGAAGTGTATAACAGCTGTCTCACCCCTGCCAGGTGAATGGTATGACATGGATCACTCGCTAACGAGGTCTTAGAGGGGCTGAGAAGTTAATATGTATGCTGGCTCAGAGCACCCAGGGGTTCCTGTTTGGGTTCCCTTTATGTTCCACCTATGTGTATGTAATCTTTTTTGAGCACTTTATTTGGATATAATTTAAGACTCACAGAAGTTACAAAAATAATATAATGGGTCCTGTGTACCCTGTGATCTTTTTATATTGTTTTAACATCTAAATAAGGTGGTAATTCCTTGATGTGTTTTTGTTTTATTTTAGTGTTTCCTTCACTATTGACTGGTGGAGAATGGGGGAGATAGAAGGAACATACAGGGTCCTGCAGACAGCAGGAACACGCTTGGGTGCCCAGACCCCTGTGGGTGTGAGCACCCTCGAGCCGGGGCAGATGTTCTCACCCAGAATGCAAGAGAAACACATGCATGTGAGAGTGAAGCTGCTGGACAACACGGTGGAAATATTTGACATTGAGGTAAGCACAGTCTTTATTTTCTAAATGTCAGGTATTATATACCAAAATCCATTTTGCCGGTTAGACTTTGTATATTTGTCCAATTGACCAATAGTGGCTTCAGTGAACACACAATAAAATCCTGGATACAGTAAATCTGAGTTCTTCTTTGAGTTTGTTAAAGCTGGTATTCTCACCAGGTTGGCAGCACCTATAATCCTAGCACTTTGGAAAGCTGAGGTAGGAAGATCACTAAGTTCAAGTCTGGCCTGGAAACAGCAATTTAGCAAGACCCCATCTCAAAATAAAAAGGTCTTGGGGTAGAACTCAATGGAAATTTCTTTAGTACTAGGGATATGTTATAAAATTCTGATGGGACTCGGTCTTCCCAAGCTTCTCTTTTGAGAGGCTGGCTAAGAGAACTGCTAAAGGGTGCAGTGCAGCCAGATTACTTTCACTAGAACCCTTCTTGCTTGGCCACTTGGTTTCCTGGCCACCTGGATGAGGGGACAGCACTGGCCTCAGTGTGTCAGCATCCTTGTCTGAAACATGGGTCCAGCCCACCTTCTCAGGGTGGCTGGTGTGACCTTGAGCACATATAGTGTAGAGACTTGGCGTACAGGAGGTGATGTAGAGTGTGAGTATGGAACTTACTTTTCCAGGTCAGCAATAAATTTTTCATTTTGAATAATTCCCTAATAGTAGATTGTACTGATAATATTGACAAAAATAACTGAATATAGTAAAAGTATATGTATATATCGATATAGTACTGCTTACTTTTTAGATTCACATGATATATTAGAAAATATTTTGTTTGTTGAAATGGTATTAGGACAAATATTATTTTTTAAAATTGCTAATTCATATTCACATTTAATACATAAATCCATTTTCTCTTTTCTAAGATTTACATATTAGATTAAAGAAATGTCTTTACAAGCTTTTTCGACCCTTAATGTCACAGAAGTGAGGATAAAAGAATGATCTTGTAATGGTTTATATCTAGATGGTCCCCTGTCCATCCATGCCCCCTCCCCGGTGCACTTGTAGGTGGGTCTCCTCGGAGCTGACTGGATCATGGGCATGTGATACTAGATTATGGGTGTGATAACTGGACTAGTCTGCTAAACCGTTTAGCATAGTTCTATCCATCGGTGTGGATAATGGGAAGGCCTGCTATGTGGGTGGCACCAAACAATAGGCTTATAGCCCAAATGGCATAAAAAGAAAAGGAAAGCTTGCTACCTCCTGCCTGCCATGCCATGAACTATTTCTCCTCCACCAGACCCTTCTGTTGTACTGCCCTGCCTTGGAGCCAGCTGGCTATGAACTGAAACCTCTACAGACTGAGCTAAAATAAACCTTTGCTCCTTTAACGTGTGGGTATGGGGTATTTTCTCCCAGCAAGGAGGAAAGAACCAAGACAGATCTTAACCTCCAGCAATATGTTTATTTGTGCATGGAGATTTCTGTGGAGGATCAAAATACTACACAGAAAATAAGAAGAGTCTTGAGCTGTGGGCAAGGCTCACAGTGGTGCCTTATCCCAGAATGTGTTGGAGCAGGCAGGTAAGGTTGGATGGAGGCCTGAGGCTGTCATTCTCCTTGGAGCCCTGGATAAGGTAACCTTGTCCCTTGAATGTCACGTGGCAGGTACAGTGTCTAGTGCCACAATTCAAGAATTCCGGAGCACCCAGAAGCTTTTCAGGTCTTATCTGCGGAGGAAACGAAATATTTCATCAGAGCTGTCACCCTGTTTTGGGGAAGATTTGTTTCAGTGCAACAGATGATATGTGACTAGAGTACCTTAGAAAGTGAACTTACAGGAAGAGACATTTATTTTAGCTTACAATTTCAGCGGGTCCAGTCTGTGGGCGGCAGTCTCCAAGACAGAAATAGCATGGTGGAAGCAGATGGTGGAGGAAAGCTGCTCCCTGCATAGCAGTCAAGAAGCAGAGAAGAGCAGGAAGAGATCCAGAAAGAAAGGGGCTGAGGACAAGAACATACTCTTCTAAGTTACATCCCCAGGGCCCTGCTTCCTAAAGCCAAACCCCACTGCCTAACAGGGCATTTGTAGTTAGGAGCTCTTCCATGGGTCAGTCCATTGATGAGGGTCGCACCCTCAGGGTCCAGTCACCTTCCAGAGACCCCACTCTGAATATAACTGGTTTTGGGGGAGATGTAATCCTAGTAGTTCTTAGTCCTAGCAGTAACCTTTGAGCCCAGGAGAGAATATTGATTGCTCCTCTGCCACATTCTGGATTACTCTCCTAAAGGAAATAAGTCAAAGATCTGGGAACTGAACTGGGTTCCCAGATCTTTTCCACTCAGGTGTTTGGAAGAATTTCCGTTATGCAGCCATCCTGTGGCAAATGAATTTGCCAGAGTCAAGGCTCATAACAGGTTCAACATTTTAAAAAAGAGTAAAAGAAAAAGATTTACAGTATTTAAGGTTTGTTTTTATTTGTCTTATTTGCCTTTTTTAATGGTCTTTCTCAACTAAATCTAGGACCTAAAGGGGAAAAGCACACATTTATTGTTGTTCATAAATAAGATGTAATCCTCTGTAATGCTGTAACCAAGTACTTAGGGTACTTTTTATCTAAGGAAATCAACAGTACCATTTTGTGAATGTTTCAAAATAATTTGGAGCTTTAGAGTTTCAATAAGTTGAAAATAGTTTTTGTTAATCCAATCTGTTATCTTTGGTATTTGATAAACCTAGCAAAATAACCAGAAATTAAAGAATTTCACTTGGAAAAAATTATTATTGTATATCCTGAATTGCCCAGGGTACTTTATATCTTTTTACCCTGTGTTACCCATTGATGCATACCTCTTTTTTCTTTTTTTTTTTTTCGGATACAGGATCTCAATATGTTGGCCAAGCTTGGCTTAAACTCCTCATCATCCCACCTCAGGCTGCCGAGAGCTGGGATCATAGGCATGCACCACTGCATCTGGCTTGATGCACACTTTTTAGGGGGAGTTAAAATACCATGTATTAGAGTGGTACCTCAGTTCACACACTTAATTTTTTTCCATGTTTCTGGTCACAAATGGAATTGGACAAGAACCAAATCACATTTCTCCATAAGATCAACATTGAACCTAAGCACTAAATTTGATTTGGTTCTTGTCCAATTTGGTCTGCTACCAAATCATGGGAAGAATTAAGTTCGTGAACGGAGGTACTACTGTGTAAATTAGTGGTATTGTGATAGTTATTTAAATACCACTAATTTATAAGTACTGTAGCCTCCCTGACTGTATCATTTTGTTTTGCTAAGTAACAAACCACCCCAGAATTTAGTTGCTTAAAGTGTTTAATATTCCCACATGTTGTTCATTTGGAGCTCTTCTAGGCTGAGCTAGCTAAGAGGCACAAGGTGGTGTAGGAGGGCCTTCCCCACCTCTCTGGGGCCCCTGCTGGAGTCTGTCTGTGTGGAATCTCACCCTCCTGCGAAACAGTCGTGGAAGTGTCCTCAGAGCAGGAGTGGGAGGTGCAAGGTGCCCTGGGGTAAGGGCGTAGAGTCACCTTGATGCACAGTGGTAAGGACTGGTGGCTGTTTTTCACAGTTCACCTTGATAATTACCAACAGAGCAGAGTGCAGCCCCTGAAAGTAACATAACACCCTAGGTCCTAGGACGTGGCTCAGCCTCAGGCCTGTTATGTGGGGCTTGCCAGAGTAGGCAGAGCCCCTCTTTAGTAAAGTGAACCCCTCCGCTAAGGCCTCTTCCTCCACACTGTGTCCCCAGGATTACCAATCGGGGATTGAGGCCCTCCATCCCTGTGCCACCGTCACTGGTCCACTGGTGTCAGTCATATTCTTTCTCATGGTCTCCTTATATTTAAACTGAAAGACAAGCTGTGGTCATTGGACCTGTAGGCTGGCGCAAACCTGTCACTACGGAGCAGAGGGTAGACAGACCACTGAGAACCATGGCTGGGTGGGTCTGTCTCAGGCAAAGGCAGGTCCTAGCCATGCTTGTTGTCTTTTCCTCTGGAGGACACATTCTGGGATGGAGGGGCCTAGTTTAGGAAATATGTGTCAAATGAGTGAAATCAGAACTTATATTTGGTTAACATGCTTTCTCTGAGATAATTCCCAGTTTTTTCCCTCTATACCAATGGATAACCTCAGATTCAATTTTGTTTTGCTTTGAGAATTCTTGGTTTTAGGCACCTGTCTTATTGTCTCTGTGCTTGGACTTTTTTTCAGTTAAGTCTTAAACGTACTGGTTTTCTAGGGAGATGAGTTAACATGACCCTTGGCAAACACTGTGTACAGATGACTGTGAAGCACTGGCATCGTGTGAGGGTGTGTAAATGCCCTAGTCGATACTGAAAGTTTTAGCTTAGAAAAGAATCTGACATTCAGTGGTTTTCTCAAATCCTCTTTTTTGGCTGTTCTGAAAATACAGAACCACCTAAAACACTGTGTACTGGGCTTGTGTCTGTCCACATGAGCTGGTGGTCACTGTCTCTTGTCTGTCTTCAGGCAGTCCTGCTGTCCTCATTGTAGTTTCCTTCAGAAAGGTGAGCTCGGAAGTCCCAGTTTTATCCATCTCCCAGAGGGAGCACTTGAAAAGGTATTTTCTGTCCAGGCTGACTGCTGCAAGAATGAGAAATGATTCTAGCCAGGCCTGGTAGCGCATACCTGTAATCCCAGCACTGGGGAAGCTGAGCAGGAGGATCGTTGAGAGTTTGAGACCAGCCTGGGCTACAAGGTGAGCTCAAGGCCAGCCTGAACTGCATAGCGAGACCCTGTCTCAAAAAGACAAACAAACAAACAAACAAAGAAAAAGGAGAAATGATTCTAGAGCAAAAACTGCTGGCAAAGAAGTCAGTGGAGCTGAGTATAAGGCCAGGCTTTGTTCCACTCTTTCTGAGCCAGCTAACACATTCCTCTTTAATTTTTGTACCCCCTCAATCAAAATGGCTTGAAGCTAGAAGCTAGATTCACTCTTACATGTTCAGTATTTATTAGTGTTGGAGAGTAAAGTGGAGCTGAAAT